CAAATTGTTTATAAGCGAAAAACGCACGGTTTTTTAATGCACAATTTGAGAATGTTAATGTCAACAAAACGGTGATATTTTTTAATAGGTCGCTTAATTACGTCTTTAAGATTACAATGACGCTTTCAGAATCATGTGTGGTTGAAAATTAACGCCTGTACAGAGGTTTAAAGTTCATAACTTTTGGAGCCTCCGTTATAAACAAATAGAATTGTGCGGAAACTATTGCACCTACAGCGCCCACTTTTGGTACACTTTTGAAGTATGACAAAACCCTCAACTTGTCATAAGTTTTATAAAATTTTAACAATGCAATGTGTATCGTGAGCATAGAGCGCAACACGCCTTGACAACAGATTTAACCTACTTCTGCTACTACAAGATGTATTGCCACTTACTATCATAAATATAAATGATTAATGTTTATTTACTTGATTGTCACCACAAAGTTTCCGATGTCTAGTAATTACATATCTCGATATCAGAACTGATTACAAACTTGTACATTTTTGTACTACCCTTCCAAAATAAATATGAGTGTGATTCAAGTTCAAATGAAATAAAATTTTTATATGGATTTTCTTATAACTCACGTTTTAACTGAGATATAAAATAAATTATTTTTTAGAAGGTCTTCATAAAACAGATATTTTTACACTTAACAAATATTAATAATCCCCGTACTAGTACAAGAATCATTGCATGCGATCTTAAGTGAGTCATACAACAATTTGGAGAATTTTGAAAGACCAATTATATTCCTATCATATACTGTATGTAAAGTACTTCTTCCTCGTGATTTTCCCTGCCGAATAGAATTATGCCAGTGGATGCAAAATATGATAAACCAAAAAATTCTTTTTAAGCCAGGTATTGTTTACAGATGAGTACAACTTTTCGAGAGATGCTNCCAATTATATGTCTATCATATACTGTATGTAAAGTACTTCTTCCTCGTGATTTTCCCTGCCGAATAGAATTATGCCAGTGGATGCAAAATATGATAAACCAAAAAATTCTTTTTAAGCCAGGTATTGTTTACAGATGAGTACAACTTTTCGAGAGATGCTATTTTAAATTACCATAATATTCATTTTTATGCAGACGAAAATCCCCACATGATAATTGAAAGCAGGAACCGGTATCAGTTTCCAGTAAACGTCTGGGTAGGCATTGTGGGTGATTGGTCCCGCTTTTCTACCATTGAGACTTAGTGGTGATACTTATAGAGAATTTTTAGGAAATCACATAAATGGACTTCTGGAAGATGTTGCAATTGCAGCTAGACAGAGAATGGTATTTATGCATGACGGAGCACCATTTCATTTCAGTAGAGTTGCCAATAACGGGTTGATTGAAAATTTTGTCAATAAATGGATTGGACGAAATGGACCTTACCCTTGGTCTGCTCGATCTCCTGACTTAAATCTGCTTGACAAATCATAAATGGATGTCGGCAAAGTCAGACAAATGCCAGGAGTTTTTGAAAATGTAGTGGNGCCAATAACGGGTTGATTGAAAATTTTGTCAATAAATGGATTGGACGAAATGGACCTTACCCTTGGTCTGCTCGATCTCCTGACTTAAATCTGCTTGACAAATCATAAATGGATGTCGGCAAAGTCAGACAAATGCCAGGAGTTTTTGAAAATGTAGTGGACATTTTCAGTTCCTTCTGTAAACATATTTTTGTTTTTATTGTCTTTTGATAATAATTAACATATAGTTAACTTGTACTGTTACTGTTAGTTTTTTTTTTAACCATAAAATATTAGAAATTAATTTAAAATTAAATATGAACAAGAAAAATTATAACTCGAAAATGGTTTAGGTACTGTGTGAAGAAAATGCAAGAGACTTTTTTTTAAAATATAACAATATACAATACAAAATCCAGTGGCGTAGTTTTGTCGAGGGTTTTAATGACAAAGCACCCATGAATTTCCAGTTGACAGATTTATATAGAAATGTACCGAATTTTTACCTTTAATTAGTTACACTATTTTCCCAAGTTTCGTCAATCTACGTCAGACAACTTCAGAGATAATTGAAAAAATATGATATTTTCAAAAACGCCCTCTATCTTGGAAACCAGTAACTTTAGAGCCCTGTTTATTAAGGCTCTTGGGTGAAAAATGAGCCAAGGAATTACCCCCCTAATTTACGACAGATTTCGAATACACCCTTTGTATGTGTTCCAATTTACATGAAAAAGTAAATATGGTTATAGTTTATATTTAGATACCTATCGGATTAATTATTCAATTCACATGTCAAGCAATGACAATAATCACTTCAATTTAGATTTTTATAACACATCCAATACTTCAGAATATATATTTGCCTACAAATTTAATTTCAACAAGCTACAGCAGAACAACTTGGTAGGACTCCCATGGCAATCACAAGCGCCATTATTCCATGGCTAGAAATTGGCCTCAATGATTTGGGATCGAGGGGGATTGTCCCTCTTTATCCTGCCTCATCTCGTGTAGGCCTGGACAGCCTTCGTAGGTGGGCCCCATCCGTCGTCTACCCCGACCGCAAATGCGGCCGGTGTAGGCGCTTTGTGGGACCTCCTTTTGTCCTGGCTGGGCCCCGCCGGCTAGGGCCCTTTCTTCTGGCGCTCTTCTTGCTTCGCCGGCTCGTCTGTGTAAACCCCGGGGGTAGTGTCATGTTTATGTGTGGTATGGTTGGGTAGGGTAGTGCGGCTATGCAGCCTGGGATGCGCTTTGCTAAGGTGGCCCTTAGGCTAGCGCGGGAGGGGAGGGTTAAGGAGGGTATGGGGGGTGTGTGTGTGTGTGTGTGTGTGTGTCGTTGTCTTCGTTTCTTGATCCTGGCTGTCTCTGAAACAGAAAAGGTTAGCGGGGAGGGGGGGGGTCATTGGGGTGGTCACCCAGGGTCAAAAAGTTGGTGTCTAGGTCTTTTGTGTTTGTCGGTCACGTCGGGTACGTAGTCAACGGCTTGCCTGAGGAGGGGATTGTCATGTCTAGCGGCTACGTCAAATCGTTTCTCCGCGTTTTGTCTTATTGTCTGTGTAGCGTTTGTGTATTGTAAGTCTCGTAATATGTCAGTGTTTCTTACGTACCAGGGCGCGTCGGTGGCCGTGCGGAGGGCTATGTTTTCCACAGCCTGTAATGACTTTAAGTGGCTTTTTGCCGCGTGACCCCACGCCGTGGAGGCGTAGGTTAGCTGCGGTTGAAGTACCACCTTGATAAGCGTTCGCTTATTCCTTAAACTGAGGGTGTTTCCACCTTTGAGTAAGGGATAGAGCCTAGCCCTGGTGGTCTTCGCTCGCGCCACCGTCTCCACGATGTGCGGTTTCCACGTGAGACGCTGGTCCATCGTCACGCCCAGGTATCGTGTTTGTCGATTCCAGGAGATAGGTTCCTGGGATAGTGTCAGTCTGTCGAGGTTTTGTGGGATTTTTCGTTTGGTAAAAAGGATAGCCGAACTTTTGTTGGGATTAATTTTGACTTTCCACCTGTTGCACCAGGTTTCAAGTTGGTCTAAGGAGTTTTGGAGGAGGGAGACGGAATATCTAGGATCTACGGATTGGGATGTGATTGTCAGGTCGTCGGCGTATAAGTATATGTTGGTGTTGGGGGGATGTGGGATGTCGGAGTTGTAAATGGTGTATAGGTGTGGGGACAGGACGGTGCCCTGGGGGAATCACAAGCAAAACAACCAATAGTTAGCGGCCACAATGATGCAACGAACTGACTGGCGGCGGCTCTGCGACGTAGATCTACTATATTTAACGAATATCAGCCGATACGACTCGTGTATTTCTATTATACAAATTTTATAGAATATGTTTCCGAGAATTAAAGAAATTGAAGGCAAATCCTTATTTCGCTTTATTCTGAAGAAAATATGGTACCTATAAAGAATTAGAACATTTTTTTGTAATTTTATATTAAAAATACTATATTTTGTAACAAGAGACGAATATTAAAGTTAAAGATTATACAATAAATTATTATTTAGTTACTTCGAACATACAGTGCAATTTTTTTATAACCTGACAGGCATAGGCCAACTTTTTTATTTGAAGTGATAAACTATTATTTCTAAATGTAACGTTGTAGAAAATACTTTCACTAAGAAAAATTTGCAAATAATACTTCCCGGTGTAGCCCGATTTTTTCAATAGTAGAGATGGGTAACGCAGTACTGCGTTGCGTTATTGCGCTGAAGCAATGGCCTGCGCCACTGCGCTGATACCAAAATTACTATTGCGTTAACGCAATTGAGTTACACCGACACCGCGACACCGCATGGCGCACCACACTTTTGAGTCAAACACGGAGTCATGCGCCGTGCCCCGACAGACAAAGCCGAACGAAACACGTCATCACGTCAAAAGATTCAACTCTATTGGCTATTTACAAAACCAAGAATTTGAGAAGAAAAGAACACAGTATAATTGTATATCCGATCTACCGAAATAATGTTAAAACGTTATATTAGGAGTAATACCTTTGAAAATAATATTATAGGACGAAAAATAGCGTAACGTATGAAATAACATGACTATTATTATGATAAAATGGAATATATACTTGGGGGTTGGGGGGATTGTCATCATATGTTTGTCATTGTCTCTGCGTGTTGTGTAAAATATAGTATAGTTTCAATTTAATTTAATTACAGTTATGTGAAAAATTATGCATTTTAATTTTTAGCTTTTATTGAAAAACAGAAACAAAATAATAATCCTTTTATACAAAAATAATTAACTAGAACCTTCTTTGGTT